AAATCGGCTTCTGTGCAAGGAGATCCCAGGCAGCTTGGCAAAGCAATTTGCTTGAAGGGGGCCACGTTCCAGTGTGTGCAGTCCCTTGAAAAATAACCCCTATGCGACAGCATGCGCATCTTAGATCCTGGCCACCCACCTATAATATAACATGGAGATATACCATCTCATAGAGCTGGAAGGGACCTTGAGAGGTCATTAAATCGGCTTCTGTGCAAGGAGATCCCAGGCAGCTTGGCAAAGCAATTTGCTTGAAGGGGGCCACGTTCCAGTGTGTGCAGTCCCTTGAAAAATAACCCCTATGCGACAGCATGCGCATCTTAGATCCTGGCCACCCACCTATAATATAACATGGAGATATACCATCTCATAGAGCTGGAAGGGACCTTGAGAGGTCATTGAGTCTAGCCCCCTGCTTTCACAGCAGGGTCAAGTACCATCCTTGACAGATTTTCCCCAGATCCCTAAATGGCCCCCTCAAGGATTGAACTCACAACCCTGGGTTTAGCAAGCCAATGCTCAAATCACTGAGCTATGCCTCCCACCCAGATTGCCAAGCTGGAGCCGTACCCCGGTGCCTGGGATGTCTGCTGGGTCACAGAGGCAGGGAACCCAGACCCTGCCCTCTCCATAGACACGGGGCAGTACAGATCTGGGCTGTAGAACTGCATGGTAATAAAATCAGAGCGTGTCCCATGGGGCCCAGGACTCCGCTATTAGCTGCTTCGTCCACACCAAGAGACATCGCTGCCAATGATAAAGTCTGTCTGGAACCCCCCGTGCCCAACGGCAGGGTCGCGGAGCAGGAAAAACATGCTTCCACCCCAAGCCCGCTGCTCTTTGGATTAGAAATGAAAGCGAGGAACCGCTCCCAATGGATGCCAGCTGTCAATCCTTTGGCAATGTATACTTTTATGATTAGCTCGAATCCCTGTCTGAATACCGAGCTTCTGCTTAGAGAAGGGGGGGAGCATGTGGCTGGATGAATTTTTAATTTGCAAATTTATAGAACTGGCACGCTGCTGGCTTGCACGCAGCCTCCCTAGTAGGAGCCCATAAGTAATAGACTCAGCAGACGTGTAGGAGATCATTGTTCGCAACGCCGGCTGTGAAAGAAGTGCGTGTTTGGGACGATAGACTCACAGGAGCCCTGAGAGATCATCTAGTCCAATCCCCTGTACTCACAGCAGGACCAAGTATGATCTAAGCAGTCCCTGACACGTGTCTATTTAACCTACTCTTAAAAATCTCCAACGATGGAGAATCTACAATCTCCCTAGGCCATTGATTCCAGAGCTTGACCACTGTGACAGGACGTTTTTCCTAGGCCAACCTAAACTTCCCTTGCTGCAATTTCAGCCCATTGCTTCTTGTCCAATCCTCAAACATACGGGGAAAGGTTTTCTTCCTCTTTCTTGTATCCATCTTTTGTGTACGTGAAAGCTGCTATCACGATCTTCTCCCCTCCTCTCTGCCTTCTCTTCTCTAGACTAAACAAACTCAAGATTTTTTTCAGTCTTCCCTCATAGGTCGTGTTTCTGGACCTATAATCATTTGTGTTGCCTTTCTTTGGAATTTCTCAATTTGTCCTCATGATTCCTGAAAAGTGGTGCCCAGAACTGGACCTGTTACTCCAGTTGAGGCTTTATCAACACGGAGCAGAGAAGGAGAATTACTTCCTGTGTCTTGCTTTCAACACAACTTCTAACATATCCCAAAATGATATTTGCTTCTTTTTGCAACAGCGTCACACTGTTGACTCATATGTAGGTTGTGGTCCATTATAAACCCTAGATCCCTTTCTGCAGCACTCCTTCCTAGACAGTCATTTCCCATTTTGTATGTGTGAAACTAATAGTTCCTTCCTAAGTGAAGGACTTTGCATTTGTCCGTATTGAATTTCATCCTATTTACCTCAGCCCATTTCTCCAGTTTGCCCAGATCATTTTGAATTTTAATCCTATCTTTTAAAGCACTGGCAACCCCGCCCAGCTTGGTATCATCCGCAAACTTTATAAGAGTATCTCTATTCCATTAACTAAATCAGGCTGCTAGATCCACCCTACAAAGGCAGCAGGGAACCCCAGGCAGCCTCCCTTGCGTGCCCCACAGCCTTACATGCTGCTCAGAAACGCAGTGTCCGGGCCCCATTTCTGTTTCAAAATTGGAGGGGAGGAAGGAAAACTTCAGGATCTGCCCCCAGCACAGTCCCATTGGCCATTTTGTGGCCAGAAACTTGCCAATGGGAGCTGCCTGTTTGAATAACAGGCAGCCAAGAAGAATCATGCCACCTCTCCTCCGCTCGTTTATTCACACAAACACATGGGCGGGCAGGCAGGCTGGCTGGGAAACATGTTAAGCTCTGCAAGCCTTAGCTTGGCAAGCAGGCAGGCTGGTTTGGCTGCTGGCTGGTAAGTGTCCTGGCTAAAGCCTGCCTCTGGCATCCCAGCCCCTCCATCCCCAATCATCTGCCCCCCATACTGCATCCCAGGTCTGGCACCACAATCTCCTGCCCCAAATCACAATCTCCTCCTATCCTAGGTCACATCCCAAACCCCTGAACTCCAGTTGCCTGCCCTACGTCACAACCACCTCCATCACCCAAACTCTATTCTCCTTCTGCACCCCAGTCCCTTACCCCAAGCTTCCTTCTGCACTCAACTTCCATCCCAGACCCCACATCTCCTCCATTAATACCATGGAAAAGTGTGGCCCTCGACCACTTTCCAAAATCTTAGAGTGGCCCCCTGTCAAAAAATATGGCCCACCCTTGAACTAAATCACTGAAGATATTGAACAGAATTGGATCCAGAACTAATCCTTGTGGAACCCATTCAATATACCTTTCCAGTTTGACTGTGAACCATTGATAACTACTCTCTAAGAATGGTTTTCTGACTAGTTTTGCTCCCACCTTATAGTAGCTCCAAGCAGGTTGTATTTTCCTACTTTGTTTATGAGAAGGTCATGCGAGACAGTATTAAAAGTCTTACTAAAGTCAAGATATACCGCCTCCACCACTTCCCCTCTATCCACAAGGCTTGTTACCCCATCAGAGAAAGCTATTAGCTTGGTTTGACATGATCTGTTCTTGACAATTCCCTGCTGATTCTTACTCATTACCTTATCATCTTCTAGGTGTTTGCAGACAGATTACTTGATTATTTGATCCTTTATCTTTCACGGTACTGAAGTTAAGCTGACTGCTTTGTAATTCCCAGAGCTGTCCTTTTTTGGTATAGATTGACACTACGTGTGCATCTTTGGGGGACAGTCGGGGTAGGGGTCTGATGCTAGAATGTGAAGAGAAGGTGTTCACATCTGTGGATTTGTCTTTTCCATGATTCTAAGAGGTAACTGGAGGCTTCCTTTCCCATGCAGCATTTTTTTCATCCCCTCCCCATTGCTCACAGTGGAAGGCTGAAACTTTTCCCCTGCTGCTACCATTGCAAACAGCTAAGTTTCCTTGGCAGCGCGTACCTGAGCTGGGCCAGCTGATGAATGAAGCTGTTGGAGCAGCAGCAGCTAAGGCTGCTGCTGAAGAACTGAGAGAAAGCCGTGATTTTTCAAGAGTGGGGGGGAAGCACTTTTTGCGTTGCATTCGAAGGTGTGTTTGAGTCCAAATGCGGCCCTATGGGATTTCATTAGCAGCAAGTTTCTCTCAGCTGACAGTGATGTTAAGCCTGACCTGCTGCTGTTTCAATGCCTTTTGGATTACAAGTGACCAAGCTGACACTCAAAGGCTACATCTACTAGACGAGTTTCTGTGGCAGAAAATATGCTAATGAGGGACTCATTAGCATAAGTCATGATCACATTTGCATATTTTCTGACCGATCTGTTTTTGAGCTGGGGTTTTTGCGCAAAAATAAGCAGTGTGGATGTCTCCTTTTTGTGCAAAAAACCCTTTTCCTGCAAGATCCTTATGCCCCCCAAAAAGGAAGTTTACCGATATGGCAGGAAAAGGGGTTTTTAACTCAAAAAGAAAACATCCATACTGCCTGTTTTTGTGGAAAACCCACTAAGCAAAAATGGATCCGCAGAAAAAATGCAAATGAGAGTGCAACCCATGCAAATAAGTCCCTCATTAGCATATTTTGTGCCGAGAAAACTAGTAGTGTAGACATAGCCTCACTGAAAGAGAAACAAAATCTCTCCCCTGCTTGGGAAAACAGCCTCCAGATATAAACGGACCGAAAGCCATGCAGTGCTGCCTGCCTGCCTGTGTCTGCAGACTGCCTAAAATCAGAGCTCCCAATTGTGAGCCTGCCCCTCACCTCAGCAAGGGGCTGGCCTCGAAGCCTCATGAAGAGCACTGGACTGTCACCGTTGTTAACTCTCCCGACATAGATCAAGGCCTGTAGGTTACAATCACAGAACTACAAGGTGTGGATGCTGCTGTAGCCTAGAGACATGTGTTGTATTGCCACGTGTCAGCCTCCTTCCCCCACCAAATGTTTGGTGAGCCCGTTTCCCAATCGATGGGGGGCTGGCCTCGAAGCCTCATGAAGAGCACTGGACTGTCACCGTTGTTAACTCTCCCGACATAGATCAAGGCCTGTAGGTTACAATCACAGAACTACAAGGTGTGGATGCTGCTGTAGCCTAGAGACATGTGTTGTATTGCCACGTGTCAGCCTCCTTCCCCCACCAAATGTTTGGTGAGCCCGTTTCCCAATCGATGGGCACTCGGGTTGGGTACTGATGCCCTTCACAGATGTAGCTCTTTTTCTCTCAAGAGACCTGGAGAAAGAGCGTGTGGGTGGTGGTGGTGATGGTGGTGGTGGGGGGCTTGGTCTACACTTGAAAGTGACAGCCGCAGGTGAAGAAAACCAACCCCCTGACCAATGTAGCGGGCCTCAGAATAGATGCAGGTATATCGACAGTTTTGGACATCATTTGGAGAGCAGGGGTTCCTACGCAGAGGGCGTAAGCTGGGCCTCGTCTAGGGGTTGTGCCAAATCTCCAGCGCCAAGAGAGAGAAAGGCACACCTACAGGAGGAGACGTTTCACTGCTCCGCAACATGACAACTACATCCCAATGTCCGTTGATAACAACTGTCACGCTCACATGAGAGCGCCGGAGAGCTGGGGCCAGTGTAAATCAGCACAGCTCTAGCGAGGTCGATGGGGCCAAGCCAGATTACACCAGAGAGGATCTGACTCTTTCTGGCACACTTGGCAACAAAGAGGCTAACATCCAAAGGCAGCCCATGACGGAGCCTCCTTGCAAGCCATCAGTCTGGAATAGCACAAAGCGATTCTCCGTTCCAGCAGCTCGCCGTGCCTGGCCTGGGGTCCTTCTAGAGGCGTGGGTTTTCTAAAAGCCAGCTCACATAGGGGGGCACCCCACAGACACCCCACTAACAAGCTCTGGCATCCTTATGCTGTTCCAATTGGTCTAAAATTGTCTCCTCCGTGCCTGGGGCAAATCACCTAGTTCTGCATCTTTGGTTCCTCATCTGCAAAAGGATAATAAAACCTCCTTTGCCTTTCCCCCGTCTCATCAGTCCTGACTGTGAGCTCTTTGTGGCGGGCCCATTTCTTACCCTATGTTGGGGCAGCGCCTAGCAACCGAGCGTGGGGGAGGCCTCCCCCGGTACCAGAATCCAAACGATAATTCATTGGCCAGTCACCAAAGAGCCAATAACGGACCTGCCGATGATGGGCGGGGGCGGACAAAGGAGGGGATTGCCTGGGGCCGGGCGATTCTATGGGGCCCAGGGCTCGAATTGCACCACTGCTGCCATAGCAACGGAGTCAGCCAGAGCCCTGGACCCCTTTAAATCTTTGCTGGAGTGGCTGCTTCACATGCCTCTGAGAGCTGGGGGACAGGGGGCACTGAGGGCTGGCTGCTTGAGGCCCCGCCCCTTCCAGAGGTGGGAGCAGCCCCCCACACACACCCACACCTTGCCCCAGGGCCCACAGTGGCCGTCGACCCTGCTGGTCCACAATAACTATACTTGGTTGCATCCTCCCAGGTGCTAAGCCCCTTTGTGAGATGCTGGGTGAATTCAACTCCTCTGGGACTTCGTGGGCATTTGCTTTGCTCCATGAGGGGTCAGGCGGCATGATTCCAGGACCCATTTCCTACCACAGTGTCCTCGCTCCCGCGCCCCAGGGACTGGTCCCAGTTTAATGGCTCTCGTGTCTCGCTTGCCTTTCCCCGGCAGGAAAATCCCGTGGGTGAACATTTACGCTCAAGTCCAGCACGACAAGGAGCAGGAGATGATCGGTTCCGTCAGCCAAAGCGAAAGTGCCCCCAAGATCACCCTGAGCGAGTTCACTGACCCCGAGGAGCTCATGGACAAAGAACTGGATACACGGGTGCTGGGTAAGGCGCAGCTGCCCTCTCGGCGACTTGTGACCAACCCCGAGAGTGCACTGATCTGGCGACGGCGGCAGAACCCGATCGCTGGCATAGGCTGGATGGCAAAGGCTCCTCCGGGGTGCAAATGGGACAGGACACCTTACTATTGGGAGAAGGGGGGGGTTCTTATTTTCGCATGCACAGAGTTGAACTGCTGGCCACATCGGCAGTCAAGCAGAATTTCCCCTCCAGAGCAGGGAGCTTGGCGAGCTCAGCATTTTTTTCTGTCACTGCGGTGCTTGGCCTTTTCCATACAGGAATTCCCCCTTCGCATCTAGCGAGAATGCCATTGCCAGTTAGCCATGTGTGATGACTGGGCGGTGGGGGGCAGGGAGTGGAGGGGGAGGCCTTGTCTTCCATGATGTTGGGGTGGGGGGCATGCAGTCCAAAGCTAAGAACCCTGGGACAAGACCCAAGTAGATTCAGGCTGCTTTATCCCAGGTGATCAAGCAGTAAAGGGGTACATACTCCCACCCAACTCCTCTCTCGAGGCTCTTCCCACATCCCGCTGCACTGGGGCATGGGCGTGCCCTTTGCGTGTGAGCAACAGGCGACAGGCAGGGCCATTTCATGAGCTGCCCTGACCCTTGTCTCCCTCTTGTCTTCCTCAGGAAGCATCTCGACAATTGCCAACAGTGAAAGCACAAAGGAAATCCCCAACTGCACTAGCGTTTAATTCTGAAAATCCACCTGGTCTACAGCATTTCTGGCTTTTTATTTGTAATTATTATTATTATTATTATTATTGTTATTATTATTATTAAAAAAAGAAAACGATACATCATGATCATCCTTTGGGGGGACTGGGGACAGGAGTTCTGTTTACCAGGGCCGCATTCATAAACTGCAGGTAGTTGCTCAGCATTTGGAAATTTCTCCTTGGTTAAAAATAATGATTGAAGGCCGAGATAACAGGGCTAAGGGATTTGAGAGCCTGTGTGTCCGAATCTCCTATGTGGGTCTGGAAGTCTCTGCTGAACTGTGGTAGGGAAATGATCCTTTTCCCCCTCCAGCCTAAGCCACAAGAGCTGACTTTGCAAAGTGCCCTCAGCTCCCACGGACTTGCAGGTCTTAGCCAGATCAGGCCCATTCCATTGCCTCTCCTTGGCCTTTTCCTTGGTTGGGGAACAAACTGAGTGGTGTCAACCATTTGTGCTCTGGAGTGGGTAGGCGGGAGCACACGTAGCCTGAGAGAAGCGTGCACACGTTTATGAATGCGGCTCTAACCTGTGCATGTGACCGGCAAGGATACCGTTGGCATACTGTAGATAATTCCAATGTAAATAACTTTTTATTTCTTGGGAAATAATTTAATGTTTAGTAAAAGAAAAGTTAAAAAAAACCCACACCCCTCCACACACCTCAACGAGCCCACTGAGGACCACATGTGAGTTCTTGTCCGACACATGGGTTCTGGATATACTCCAGTTGTCTGCCGTGCTTAACTCTTTCAGCTCTGTCGTGTTACAGAGTGACTTTCCTTTTTTGCATGACAGGATGGATTTTTTTTAAGGGGAGAGTGATTTTAAGAGACAGTAATGAGGATTTTGCAACACTCTTCAACAATTCACATTTTTTCACCCAGTTCTAGAGCAATGGCACTAAATGTAGACTTTTGGTGCAGTGTCTTGAGATTTTGGAATATTTGGGAGAGCGTGATGGAAGAAAAGCGAGAGGATCTTTATCTCAATGACAGGCAAACCTCAAAGCAGTTGGGTTCTGAAAGCCGGACTTGATTCTCCAACTCCTGCTCGCAATGGGCCAGATGCTAATACCCCCGTTCACACTGTGGAGTGCCTTTAAGCAGTTTCTGAAGAGTGCTGTGGAGTAAAGGGCACTGAAGTGTCTGAATATGGCCTGGTGCCACACAGCATCTCAATAGGGACTATTTGGGAGAGGTGCAAAGCTGCATCTTCTCCACTCCTCTTGAGTGTGCAAAACTGAGCTGAGGTTCTCTAGAAAGAGGTTTCCTTGCAAGGGTTCTGGGGCAGCTGTTCAGCCTACAAGAACAACATTTGATGGTGCTGCCTGGTCAAATCATAGAATCAGGGAGGCAGCATGAAAATGAGATCAGAGGATGGGATGCTCTGGAGGCTTTAGACCTCGTCAGGTTCCAGTCCAGAACTTGGGGAGCATTCCAAGCAGGAGGAAATGGGAAGATGCTAAAAATAGGCCTAGTTCTGCAAAGGTCCAACGGGATCAGTGAATGCCATTAGAAGATGCTGAGCCTCTGGCAGGATTATAGAAAGCTCCAGCTCCAAACAACCCCAAAGTTTGGGGGGGTCTGGCTGTAGCGTTCCAGTTCATCTGTAACATACCTGCAGTGATGCGTAGGAGGCTAAGATACAAGGTACACTAGAAGCATAACTAGCGTCATATGCCTTGGGCTCTGTTCGGTACATGAAAGGCAGTTCAAAGATCTTTATGGGCAGAAAGGCTGGGAAGATCCTTTTGCAGTAGATGGGGGAGGGAACAGCTGCTATTTAAAGATTAAATCAAACCAAGCAAGTATAGGGAAATGGCTTTGTGCAAAACATTAAAGCAAAAAAAAAACAAAAACAAAAAACTCTCAAACCGCCACGGCTCTCCTTCGAATACACCACTTAAAACACTTCGGCTGTGGCCACGACTCTCCTTCGAATACACCACTTAAAACACTTCGGCTGTGTCTAGACTGGCCAGTTTTTCCAGAAAATCAGCCACTTTTCCAGAAAAACTTGCCAGCTGTCTACACTGGCCACTTGAATTTCCGCAAAATCACGGACGATCTCATGTAAGATTGTCAGTGTTCTTGCAGAAATACTATGCTGCTCCCATTCGAGCAAAAGTCCTTTTGCGCAAAACTTTTGCGCAAAAGCACCAGTGTAGACAGCCCAGATATGTTTTCCGCAAAAAAGCCCTGATCGCGAAAATGGCGATCGGGGCTTTTTTGCCGAAAAGTGCTTTTGTGGAAATGCGTCCGTGCCAATCTAGAGGCTCTGTTCCGAAAATGCTTTTCATGGAAAACTTTTCCATGAAAAGCATTTCCGGAAAATCATGCCAGTCTAGATGTAGCCTTCATGTCCCTTTCCATCGGTTTAAAAATAATTTCCCCCACCCCGGTCACTTCTGCCTGAGTTCCCGATGCAAACAGAGGACCGATGGTTGTGTTTTCCTCGCTGACCTCATGCCCTGGTTCTCTTACCGTATCCTTGCTACTGAAACGCCGAAGTATTTTGCAGTAATAGGCCAATCTGCTGAAAACACTGTCACAGCAGGACCATTATTTTCAAATAGCATCCCATTTATACAGTGGGGTGCGTGCATGGATCCCCTTTGCCATACTAAGATGTCTGCAGAAGCTTTTGTGAGCTGCAGAGCAGAGAAATGGCCGTTGTTGTCTGCCAACACATTTCACCCAACGACTTTTCACGGTGAACATTTTCAGAGAATTTGACCGGTTTTTCTTGTAGTGAAATGAAATTTTTCATTTGGAATTGATTCGGCATTAAAAAAATCTTTTGGGAGACCCCCCAACAACCTTTTTCTGCCTTTTCTCCTTAGAAAGGACCCAGGGTGAGAAGGGAGGGAAACCCACATAGTTTTGGAACTGGGAAGCAAGGGAAATTGGAGCATTTTGACTGAGGCAAAAATTTGGCCCCCAGAATGCTGTATCATTCACCCAGCCATGTTTATGTTAAAAAAAAAAAAGAGCTGGCAACAGTCCAGCCATCTCTAATGCTGAGCAAACCTCACTTCAGACCTTGTAAATCCAATGGGTTTTTTCCACTGGCTGCAGTGAGCTTTGGATCAGGCCCCGAGACTGCAAGCTTCTATTCTCCTTCTCTTGTCTGCCAGCCACCCCGTGGCTGGAAGGGGTTGTTGTTTGCTTGGGTGGGCGCACACACTGCAGCGCTGCTCAGGCTAGTTCGTAAATATTGCAGTGTAGGCTCAGCAGATTGGCGGGGCAGCTCAGAGCTGGAAAGTCACCTCCTCACCACAGTGCAGCTGGGCCCACAGGTGTAGCTCAGCTCCTCACAAGATCGGGCCCTCAGTTCAGCCTAAAGTGTTGTTCCAAGTGCTCTAAAAAAATAAAACAATGGGGCTGTGTCTAGACTGGCAAGATTTTCCGCAAAATCATCGTTAAAAGCATTTTCGGAAAATCATGCCAGTCTAGACGTAGCCTGGGAGAAGAGTCACAAGAGATTTGACTTGATCCAGCAAACTTTACATGCAAGCGTGTGTGTGTGTGTGTGTGTGTGTGTGTGTGTGTGTGCAAATACACGGTCATCCTTCATCCTGTGTGTGTGTGTGTAAATACAATGGCCATAGGTTATGCTCTGTGTGTGTGTGTGTGTGTAAAAATACAGGGCATATTTTTCTCTCTGTGTGTGTGTGTGTGTGTAAAAATACAGGGCATATTTTTCTCTCTGTGTGTGTGTGTGTGTGTAAAAATACAGGGCATATTTTTCTCTCTGTGTGTGTGTGTGTGTGTAAAAATACAGGGCATATTTTTCTCTCTGTGTGTGTGTGTGTGTGTAAAAATACAGGGCATATTTTTCTCTCTGTGTGTGTGTGTGTGTGTGCAAATACACGGTCATCCTTCATCCTGTGTGTGTGTGTGTAAATACAATGGCCATAGGTTATGCTCTGTGTGTGTGTGTGTGTGTGTGTGTGTGTGTGTGTTTAAATACAGAGGTCATCCTTCATGCCATGTGTGTGTGTATTTGTATAAATACACAAGTCATATTTCATACTCTGTGTGTGTGTTTAAATACACAGGTCATATTTCATGCCTCTTCATCTGACCATTGTCTCGTTAGCACAGACATGGCATCCCCTGAGCCAGGCACTGCTGAGGCGATAAGAAAGAAACTAAATTTCCACAACTGGATTAGCTACAGGGTAGAAATATTGCACCGGCCATGATGCTGGTTGGCCCATAAAGCTGCCTGAAACTAGCAGCGACCTCCTATCCTCCTTCACAGCTGCTGCTGACAGGGGCGTGGCCGGGCAAAGGGCACGGCTAGAGCACACTCCTACTCCAGTAATCCCTAGGGACAAGCAGCCTCTGTTAAGCAGCCATGAGGTCGCTCTACATTGCTCTCGAAGCCCCACCCATCCTTGGTTACCCCTTTGGCTCTAGAGTGAAGGCGGCACAAATCCTCATTCGTCCTTTTGGCTCTAGTCCTGCTCACACCTGAGGCGCAAGGTCAGAGGCGGGCTGGTTTTGAAGAGTGAGAAAGAAAATCCCTCCTTTCGGGCTGTAAGGATTAAATGGGGCAGACAATTGCGATACTGCTATTAAACACGGTAATACAAATGCATGTCCTATATATATACATATATATATAAATACTGTTCTTGGTTTTATTGTTCCATTTGAATATTTCTACTGTAAAAAAGGCAGTGGTTTTGAAATTGTTGAAAATAAATGTATTTTTGTACATCGGAGCTACCTCCGGCTGCTCTTTCAGTGCTTGTCCTTGTCATTCTCTTGACCCGGGCAGCCATGGCTGCGGCTGCGCTCACCCTGCTTTTGACACAGCTCTCTGTCGTGGCTCTGGAGTCTTTGCTTGCCCTAGAACTCAGCTCCTGAATGAGTGCCCAAGAAGGCACGTTGAGAGGCATTCATTGCACTCTCCCGCATAGAAAAATAAACCTCAGCCAAATCGTCTCACCCATCGTTGCAGGGGCAATGCTTCGTTTTTGTTTGAATGGCGCCATATTGTCATGAGGCCTCCTTTACATGCCTCTGAATTGATAACCATCAAATAACCATTAAAAAAACAAAACCCTTAACAAATAACGGTCCTATAGTGTCATGCGCTTTCCCATGCACAACCCACTTCTTCAGAGGACAGATATGGAGTAAGAGGCACAGAGGTTCAAATATAAAGCAGAAAAAGAGGGGCGAGGGGCAAGAGAAAAAAATAAAACCCTGTAAATACCTGTTGGAGAACATTTTAACTTGCCCAGACACTCACTGGGGGTGTGTCTAGACTGCAGGGTTTTTCGAAAAAAAGTGGCCTTTTTTTCGAAAAAACTTTACCTGAGTTTAGATGCATTCTTTCGAAAGTAAATGGAAAGAACGCGGCAGTTTTTTCGACTGTGGTAAGCCTCATTTTACGAGGAATAACGCATTTTTTTGAAAGTGCTCTTTCAAAAAAGCACTATGTAATGCAAACTGTGCTTTTTCAAAAGGGAACATCCAGACTGCCTGGGTGCTCTCTTTCGAAAAATTGGCTCACTTTTTCGAAACTACTGGTTGTAGTCTAGATGCTCTTTTTCGAAAGATGCTTTTTCGAAAAAGTCTCTTTCGAAAGAGGCTGGCAGTCTAGATGTAGCCTGGGTGGATCTAAAAGTGGCCATTCACTACAGAATAATTTCAGGAACCAGCTAGAAAGAGAAACTACCTTCATCTGTAAATTTGACCCATTTAGCCAGGGACTGAACAAAGACATCTCTTGGATGGGCCGTTCTATTCAACACTCAAATGACATCAAAAGCTAAGTATCGGAGACTTACAGCCCGCTCTATTAGTTCATTTGGCATGGACACTTTAATTGACAGTTTTTTCTCTTCCCCTCTTTTTCTACTTTATATTTGAACTTCTGTGCGTCTTGTTCCATAGTTGTCATCTGAAGACGTGGCTTGTACCCACGAAAGCTCATACTATCAAAAATTTTTGTTAGTCTCTATGGACCACTTGTTTTTTAAGTTGTTTTTTTTTAAAGTTACAGACTAACATGGCTACCCCTCTGAGCCTTGGTCTATACAAGGGAGTTATTTCGAAATAACCAGTGAAGTGTCCACGCTACCAAGCCTGTTATTTCAAAATAACGGTCTGGTTATTTCAAAACAATAACACCTGCTTTCCAGGAGGAATAATGCTTATTTCAAAATTGTTATTTTGAAATAGCAGTAGTGTGGATTCTCCACTCCTGCTATTTTGAAATAACTACCCTCCAGAGTCATTCAAAGTAAATACTTCCCAGTGCTTCCTGGGGCTGGCTGCCGCACTTCTGGGGTCCAGTTGATGCCAGACTATCAGGAGTGCCGGACCACTTGATGCTGGATAATTGGAGTTTTACTGTATTTTGAAATAATTTCCTAGTGTAGACATGCCCTGAGACATCAAACAAGCAGCGCAGTAGGGGGCAGTGGTGTGTGTGTATCCTTTGGGAGAAGGTGCCTTTAAATCAGTTAGGGTGGACAAACATGAATTAAAAAAAAGTATCTGTCCCAGCATGGGGCAAGGAACCCCATCAGAACCCTTCCAGAAAACAGCCCACCTCCCCAGTTACACACCAACTTAATAGCCCACGCTGGGTTCCAATCCACTGACTTTTGTCCCCAGTACTTCCGAGTCGTGGCTGTTGCCCGGCCTCTCAGGATTGGCTATTTGCCACTCTTGCTCCTTTAGCAAGCAGACTCTTGTAAAGCAAAATACTGCCCTGGCAAAGGCTCTGTGTAATAACCTGGCTGTGTCGCTTGGAAAGCCGACTGAAAAATTTGAAATGAAGCGTTTGCCCTTTGGAAAATGGTGCTGTGTTGCAAGCAGCTTTTTCCATGATGAAAGATTAAATTCTAATATTGAATCCTGCCTCAGGTTGGAAAGCCTATCACAGTCCCAA